ACGTGTGGAAAATTGCATTTATCTGAATGTATCATTATGTACATAATAAATGAATACAGATAATTATTATTTATCAGTTAGACAAGTAGGAATTTGGGACACCTAGGTCGCAAAAATGTCCCCCTTCGATACCTACCACTGTCATCTCCACAAGTTGCTCTGGACCTATTAATTAAATGAAATATACATCACCAGGAATGCTGGTAAATATATAAATTTGTGGACTGTATATTAAAAATAATAAATGATTATTATAATATATATATATATATATATATATATATATATATATATATATATATATATGTCGTGCCGAATAGGCAAAACTTGCGATCTTGGCGTAAATAGCAACGCTCATCTTGCCATATAAGACAAGTGAAAATTTGTGTATGCAATAATTTCGCGAAAATCATTCTGAGCCTAACGAAAAAAATATATTTCACTCTGTTTAGTATTAAATTATTGTAAACTTATTTAAAATATATTTAGTTGGGTTTGGCTAAAATAAATTGCGCTTGTTTTAATAAGGTTAGGTAAGTTTTCTAAGATTCTTTTGGTGCAAAATTAAAAACTTTTACATTAACATTAATGAAAAATATGCATCTTTAAACATATAAAAGAAAATTTCAGAAAGGACTTAATTTTAAATGATTTCTTGCTAATTGACCAGTTTTACATATTCGGCACGACATATATAATATATATATATATATATATATATATATATATATATATATATATAATATATATATATACATACACACACACACACCACACACTTATACAACAGAAGGAGAATATATCTTAATCATAACACTCACCAATTTGACTGGAGATTAATGTGTCATGTACAGGACCCCCCCCTTTTGCCTACATTTATGAAGAATTTACTGGCCAGAAATTAAACATAATTTAGACAGCTTATCTGAGGTTCCTGGAGTTGTCCTGTCCTGTCGCCTGATTCTCAAATTATGCAGGAATGCACATCCAACAATTTCGCCTCCTATTTGAGAGGTGTCAGCCCGATTTTAACCTCTAGAGCACGAAAAACTCTTCCCATTATTCACAACGTGTTATTCAATTCAAACAAAAAAATGGCGACTGTCCCTTCTCCCCAGGCTCAGTTTTCCCATTTTCGATAACATACTTCTTTTAAAAATACAATATAGGGCATCTATTTACCTATAAATTACCGTATTTCCGGAAAATATGTGCAGTATTTTCCACAAGACGGTACTTAAGTCTTACTGATATGAAAAATATGCCTTCAGCGCTATACTCCTACAAGAGAAGTGTAGGAGCTTATATCCCAAATTACATAAAATTCGCTTACTTTTTGTCCACTCTTAACAACCTTGTTAATAAACTTTTCAATTTTTATTTCGTTAGTTACCTGGAATTTACCTGGAGAGTTCCGGGGGTCAACGCCCCCGCGGCCCGGTCTGTGACCAGGCCTCCTGGTGGATCAGAGCCTGATCAACCAGGCTGTTACTGCTGGCTGCACGCAAACCAACGTACGAGCCACAGCCCGGCTGGTCAGGTACCGACTGTAGGTGCTTGTCCAGTGCCAGCTTGAAGACTGCCAGGGGTCTGTTGGTAATCCCCCTTATGTATGCTGGGAGGCAGTTGCACAGTCTCGGGCCCCTGACACTTATTGTATTGTCTCTTAACGTGCTAGTGACACCCCTGCTTTTCATTGGGGGGGGATGTTGCATCGTCTGCCAAGTCTTTTGCTTTCGTATCCTATCAGTTGCAATCCTTAAACACTATTAAAATTTATCATAATTTTAAAGGATAACTGGATCAGAATAATTTGTATGTTACAAATCCAGAAAGAGACTGAATGCTAGAGGGGAAGACTTTCTAGTATTCTCTGGAGATGTCTACATTTTACAGATATCGCCTTTCTGTAACACCCATCAGTAAAATGGGTACCTGGGTTAGTTGACTGGTGCGGGTCGCATCCTGTAACAAAACTGACCTAATTTGCCCGAAATGCTCTGCATAACCAGCGGCTTTCTATATAGTAGTATGTCATTGATGCCAGCTAGACCTGTATACCTTCTACATGTACTTGTAGTGAATAGATTCATAATTCTTATTGCCGAGGCGATTCGTAGCCATCTTGAAAGGCATAAATTGATTAATGAATCTCGACACTGTTTTACAAAGGAGGCGCTCTTGCCTTAATAATTTACTTTTTTCACTAAGGTATTTGAGGAAGTAGATCATGGTAATGAATATATTGTGCATAGACTTCAGTAAGGCTTCCGATCGAGTTCCACATCAGTGGCTATTGAGAAAACTTAAGGCACACGGAATAGGAGACATTTTTTTCTGGGAAGAGACATGGCTGACACAGGCAGCAGAGTCTGCATAAATGGGAAGAAATCAGAGTGGGGGCATGTTACAAGCGGCGTTCCACAGGGGTCAGTGTGGGGCCCCTTGTTCACAATTTACATAAACGGCATCATGAGGGAATAAATAGCGACATAAGCAAATTTCCTGATGACACCAAAATAGGCCGTCCAATTCATTCTAATGAGGACATTAGAACACTCCAGGATGATTTGAACAGACTGATGCAGTGGTCGGATTTATTATTATAATCAAGGGGGAAGATAAGATTTCGTTCGGATTTTTAACCCCGGAGGGTTAGCCACCCAGGATAACCCAAGAAAGTCAGTGCGTCATCGAGGACTGTAACTTATTTCCATTGGGGTCCTTAATCTTGTCCCGGAGGATTATACAGCGCCTGGGGTGGGGGGGGGGATGTGGAAGGCATTCAGGCTTAATTCGGGGAACTGGAGCACAGATCCAATTCCCTAAATCTAGAGCCCCTCACTAACATCAAGGAACCTTCCTTGAGGGGTACAGTGGTCGGAGAAGTGGCAGATGCAGTTTAATATAAACAAATGCAAAGTTCTAAATGTTGGATAGGAAAACAACCATGCCACATATAAACTAAATAATGTAGATCTTTAATATTACTGATTGCGAAAAGGATTTAGGAGTTCTGGTTAGCAATAATCTAAAACCAAGACAACAGTGCATTAGTGTTCGCAATAAAGCTAACAATCCTTGGCTTCATATCAAGAACCATAAATAATAGAAGTCCTCAGGTTGTTCTTCAATTCTATATATCCTTAGTTAGGTCTCACTTAGATTATGCTGCACAGTTCTGGTCACCGTATTACAAAATTGATGTAAATGCACTGGAAAACTTACAAAGGAGGATGACAAAGTTGATCCCGTGTATCAGAAATCTTCCCTATGAAGACAGACTGAGGGTCCTAAATCTGCACTCTAGAAAGGCGTAAAAGTAGGGGGGAATATGATTGAGGTGTTCACCTGGAGAGAGTTCCGGGGGTCAACGCCCCCGCGGCCCGGTCTGTGACCAGGCCTTATGGTGGATCAGGGCCTGATCAACCAGGGATGTAAATAGCGTCTAAAAATGTATAGCCAAGACAGGACTCGAAGCAATGGTTTAAAGTTGTTAAAAATCAAATTAAGGAAGGATATAGGAAAGCACTGGTTTGGTAATAGTTGTGGATGAATGGAACAAACTCCCGAGTACCGTCATAGAAGCTAAAGCGTTGCGTACTTTTAAAAATAGGTTAGATAATACACGAGTGGGTGGATGCGACCAGGACCTGACTAGGTTGGGTCATTGGCAAAAGCCAGTAGGCGACTTGGACCTGCCTCGCATGGGCCAGTAGGCCTGCTGTAGTGCTCCTTCTTACTTATGTTCTTATGTTTTCACACGACTAGATAAAGCCCACTGTGGGGTGAAACACCTATAATAAAAAGGTTTCATCTGCCCCCCAAGTCTATCGGTACATAAAAATATTTTATTTTGACATGATAATAGTTGTACAAAGGAATGTAATGGTTGAGTGTACATGCATAGGTATGTGCAAGTATGTACTCGCTTATTTTAATTTCTTAAGGCGAACATCACGATAATATTACATTAAATAAGAATAATTTGCATTTTTCGTAACTAAGCATAATTCAACACTTATTTAAAAAATAGCATTAAGACACCCTGATGTAGTCAAGTGGATTCAGTTTATACAGTTGCATTCTTGATAATAGTAGACACATCACAATTGACAGGTAGGTACATATGTATTTGGGAGGTATGGACCTGAATTTAGTTATATTTAAGAAGTGCGAGTACACTGCACTAGGCTGGAATTCGATGAAGATATCCATATGTGATATTTAACTCGGGCAAGCTTTCAAGTTATTGACTTTTAGAGAGTTACTAATCCATTACAAATTCTAAGGTGTAAATCAAATTTGGTTTTACGGATTAGAGTAAAAGTTTCTGAATGGAATGTAGCGTATTCTCGATTTTAATATGGAAGGAGATACTTGAACGGCAACTGTAAACAACTTCTCATGTCTCAGCTGATTCCTCAACCTTTTGTTTATGTTGTCAATGAAGCGCTTACATTGCCTGCACATTCATTCACCTTTATTGGAGATTTCCTAGTATTAAAAATATTTTGCAATTCTTCTTCTTTTATGTTTTTTATGCACTCTGCTACCGGAGTATTTACATTTACCCATTTTAAGTAACAACTATATACTTGGCTTCCAACATAAATAATTTTGAATCTTGATTTGATTGCTTCATTCGTACTCAACTGGGAAAAGATATTTATTCACTTCATATGATAGTTGGATTTTTGCAAAAATAAAATGTATAAAAATGCATTTCTCTCTTAACGTAGGTTGTTATCTACATTAAAATGTAATGGCCTATTTCAGGCAAAATATGTAAAGTCACGAAAACAAGAGAATATAAGTGGAATGTGCTGATTATTGATTAACTCGTCTTGACTAAAGCTTTGTAGCACACTCTTCATACGATTCCAGGTTACTAGTCTCGTAACAAAATAAATCTATTTTTCCTAAAGTATTTATTTTGTAAGATTATATTGTTGTAGATTAAATAGATCTAGTTTTGAAAGACTATTACAAAGAAGAAATACTCTGGACATGTATTTTAAGCGCCCGCCATTACAGGGGAAGTAACAAAGGGTCGGGTAGAAATCGGGAATTTTATCACAATGCCGATTCTCTAACCCCGGAAAGACTTAGAAAATTGACTGTTGCCAGCTAGGTAAGGTACTAAACTTCATATACACAGGCAGAATATATATATTTCTCCCTGAAATATCTATATTAAATGTCTCAAACGTCAGGTGCGTTTCAGTTTAAGTTGACAGACTTTGTCTTGTTGCTGTGATTGAGTCCATATAAAAAATGTTTAAGAAGCTCTTAATTTATGATACTTGCTAAGTAGTAGTGGTACTAAGCGCCTCCTTTTACGTGGCGAATCGTAAGAGAATTTTGAGGTCTGGTGTTTTATTGATTGCTTGTGATACTGTTGTGGTATCTGGCAACCTGAACTAGCTTTAATTCATTAAAAAAAATGTTTGTTTTTATCCTAAGGCTCATATTCTCGTAGAATAAACTTGCAGTATGTAAGCAACGTCTTCTATAACATTATATAGACAAGTATATGCTGTACTTTTTGCGCTAGAATCATCCTCATTCGGGGGGTACACAAGAAAGTTAATTTGTAAAATATATTATTGTAGTCAGTGTTAGTAGCCTAGGTTTACAGCTTCTATACAACAGTGTTGCATTCCAGCCAATTTGTCTTGTATTAATTTTTATCCCTGCTTTACTGACTTAACATTTTTGGAATGTTTTCATTCCACTGCTAATTGACTCATGTGGTAAGTGTTTTCTGTAAATATGAAAATTATCTTTCCACCCCAATTTTATATATCTTACAACAAAAATAACATGCACAGCTTTTTTTTTTTTTTTTTTTTTTAGTGATTGGTCATATTGGCCTGTAGTAATAGTACCCATACATACACTATACAACCATATAGAGGAAGGCTTTAGATTCAGAATCTGTATATCAAATCATTACATATACAATACTCAGTCAATTGGATGCATAGCATTTTGGATTATTATCCTGGAATGATAGTAGATGATAACCCAAGAAAGCCTGTATGGGTTATTTCCAATGGGGTTCTTTGATTCTCTTCCCAGGATGTAACCCATGATGCAGTAATTGACTAACAACCAGGGATTGTACCTGGATGTAGAGGCATAATACTGACAAGAATGGATGTAAAAACATGCAGAATAAGTATTTAATGGGATTACATTTCACTTGGGAAAGAACTTTATCAACACGAGTGAAGCATAGTCATAAATACTTGTTCTACATAGTTTTTATACCCAAGCCAAGTATCTAGGTAAACAAGGGCAACAGGTGTAAGAAAATGTGTGTAACATCTCCACCTGCCCCAGGATTGAGCTCAGGCCTCCCTTTCATTGTGAACTGAACTCGATACCACTGAGACATGAGCCACAAATGTGTACCTTCCTTGTTAACAGTCTAGTGTCTTCTGCCACTAAAGTGTATTAATAATTTTTCTACTTGAGATTGTTATAATACAGTATGTACCTTTGATCTGTTGAATACTGTATACAGTGGAGCCTCGGTTTGCATATGCCCTAGTTTGTCTGTAAAACTATAGTTATTCTCTATAAAATGTATTTTTGTTAATATTTCCCATGAGAAATACAGTGGACCCTTGGTTATCAGCCGTAATCCGTTCCAGAAGCTCGGCCTAAAACCAAAATGGCCAAAAACTGAAATATTTCCCCTAAGAATTAATGGAAATACAATTAATCCGTTCCAGACAAGTATTCACAAAAAAAAATATTTTTTTAACAATTTTATAAGCATTACATACCTTTCTTCCAGAAGCCAGCTTCTGGAAGATGGGAGGAAAGAGGGAGGAGTTAGTGTTTGGAAGGGGAATCCCCCTCCATAAAGACTTCAGGTACCAAGTCCTTATCCAGGGTTACTTTCCTACTTTGTCTTTTAATGCCACTAGGACCAGATTGAGTCACTGGAAAACCTGTTGCACAACAAATCTGTCCATAGAGGTCTGTTTCTGGCATCTCTAAGATTTCCCTGTCCCTGAAGTGGGACAGTTTTGTCACTAAACATGTTGCAGATATGGCTTGTTTCTGCTTGGTCAGGATGGTATTTCTCCACAAAATCTTGCACCCTAGTCCACACCTTTTTAATCTCTGAAGAAGGCACCTCTTTCACTCCCTCTTCCTCCTCCTCTGAAGCAAATTCCTCAACTGCAGTCTGTTGCTCTTCGAGTTGAAGCTCTTGCAGCTCTTCAGTGGTTAGCTCTTCCCTGTGGACTTCCACAAACTCTTCCACATCCTTGCCACTCGCCTCCCTCCCCAGGGACTTCCCCAGTGCCCCAATAGTCCACAAGGTCAGCCTCAAACCCTTCAAAATCCCTCTCTTGGACACAACCTGGCCACAATTTTCTTCAAGCAGAGTTCAAAGTCCTGGAAGTCACTCCCTCCCAAGCTTTACCTACAGGTCAGCCATCAGTAATCCGGCAATCAGTTATCCGGTTACATAAGTAATCTGGCACTAATTTTGGCTAGCATAATTTCAAATTTTATTATACAGACTCGGAAATTGTGCAGATACGTATTTGTAAATCCACATCAGCAAGCTAGTGGAGGAGAAAGCAGTGATGAAAATGAGGAAGATAAAGTAGAAAGTCTCTCTTGACAGGTTAATTAAATGTATTCTAACCTAACCACTCGGTAATCCGGCAAACTCACTAATCCGGCACACTACAGGTCCCAATGATGCAGGATTAGTGATGGCCAATCTGTATAAGGTTTATGCAATGGAGGATAGTGAAGTGATTCCTCCAGAACTCTCCTAGGGTCAACGGTGTCGGAGGTCCTTTCAAAGCACTTTAGAAACATTGCTTTTGTGTAGTTTTTTGAAGTTAGACATGACCTGCTGGTCCGTGGGCTGGAAGAGAGGAGTGATGTTAGGAGGCTAGAACTTTACTTTTATAAAGCTGAAGTCACTAAACACTTGGTCTTACAAATCTGAAGGATGTGCAGGAGCATTGTCCAGTACCAGGAGGCACTTGAGTGGCAGTTTCTTTTCCGGGAGGTATTTTTACACACTTGGGCCAAACACATCATTAACCCACTCTTTGAAAATTTGCCTTGTGACCCATGCCTTATGATTAGCTTTCCACATCACACGCAATATATTCTTGATGACGCTGCTTTTTTTGAACACAGTGGGATTTTCTGAGTGATACACCAGTAAAGGCTTCACTTTAAAATCCCCACTAGCATTACCACACAACAAAGAGTAAGCCTGTCTTTCATAGGCAAGTGTCCTGGCAGTGCCTTTTCCTCCTGCGTGATGTAGGTCCTGTTTGGCATTTTCTTCCAAAACAGGCCTGTTTCATCACAATTTAACACTTGGTGGGGTTCATATCCTTCAGCCTTTATGTACCCCTGAAATTCCTGCACATACTTTTCAGCCACACATTTGTCAGAACTTGCAGCCTCCCCATGCCTTACAACACTGTGTATGCCACTATGCTTCTTAAATCTCTCGAACCAGCCTTTGCTGGCCCTAAATTCACTACCAGCAGCACTTGTTCCAGGAGTTTTCTGTAGAAGATCCTCGTGTAACTGCCTTACCTTCTCACAAATAATAGATTCCACAACAATGTCTCCCACTAATTCTTTTTCCTTAATCCATATTAATAACTTTTCCATCTCTTCCATTATTGGTGACCTTTATTTCGTTAGAAAAGTTACTCCTTTCGCAACATTAGCATCCTTGATTTGTTCTTTCTTTGCCAGGATGGATGTAGTGGTAGATTTGTTTTTTCTGTACATCTTGGCAAGTTCCAGCACTCGCATACCACTCTGAAAATTTTCAGTCACTTCATGCTTAAATTCCCTGGTGTTTCTCACTTTCTTTACCACAGGAACTTTCTTTGGAGCCATGGCTACTTATTTCGCAGTTGCACTCCCAAAAAAAAAAATGGAAAACAAGCGAAATGTTTGGATGTATGAGAAGCTTCCTCGCCCACCGAGAGAGAGCCAAACTGACGCGCAAGCGACCCCAGCCGGCGGTCGGACACGTCCCAAACTGCCGATCACTGAAATAACGATTGATCACCGGAAGCCAAAAAACCAGCCAATCACCAAGTTGGCCAATAACAGGAACAGCCGATAACCGAGGGTCCACTGTAATGTAAATTCAACTAATCTATTCCACACACCCAAAATTATTAACAAAAAATACATTTTATAGAGAATAACTATAGTTTTACATACAAACTAGGGCATACGAAAACTTGAGGTTCCACTGTATTATTGCAATTTAAACAATAATTAAGTAAATTTTATTTTAGTTTGACACAGTACGTTTTCACTGAATATGAAATACTGTACACTTTTTCTTTAAAGGATGTGGGAATTTGTTGAAACATTGACCTTTATAATTCAAAATTCATAATTAAATAAATTGTATTTAAGGAACAGGAAAGAGATTGTATGTAAAGGACTAAATTGAGTGAGTGATAGCAAAAAAAAAAAAAATATTTCTAACCCAATTGAATTTTTTAATTTTTTGTTTACTAATTTTTTTTAAACACACTGTCCCTTACCAAAGTAGGGTGAACCAAAATAGAAACCATTTGCTCCATCACTGTCTTTCTAGAGGTGCGCAGATGCTACAATTCGATGCTCCTCCAAACTGCAAATATCCCCATATATGATAAACAAGTGGAGAAGTGTTTTGATTTTACTAGTATGTAATGTACAGTATTATGATTAGCACTTTATTTTGCAGAGAATGGCAGGTGGGGAAGGCGGGAATGGTGCTGGCAGTGACGGCAGCGGTGGTGGCAGCGGTGGCACTGCAGGTAACACTAGTGTGTGTCCAGTGTGTGGCTACAACCAGCCCAACCTGAGTCAACATTTGTCTCGTCACAGCAAAGAAGACATTATCCGTGCAGTAACCAATGGTCATCCACTGCCAGAATTAGCCAACCGGCGGCCACCTGGCAGGCCTCGTAGGCCTTCTTACCCAATTCCATCTGTAGCAAATGTAGCTCCCATCTCACCTAGAACCAGCACCAGTCAAACACCATTGCTACTTGCTGGAAATCCAACTCATGAACAGACCCTGGGAGCTTCCCTAGCACCATTACCTCAATCATCTACACCACTGATACAGCCTCCCCGAAATGGCATACCTCTTGCAGCAACTCCTTTGCAACATGGTGCTGCAGCAAGCAATTACCTTATCATTAGTAACAACATGTTTCCTGCTGGAAGTGTAATTCCCAATAATTTACAGCTAGGCAACAATGGAGTAAGCTATCTAATCCCTAGTTCTGGGGGGCTTATGCTTGCTGCTGCACCATCAACTAACCAAACCATTTTCGTTCAAACTCCCACCACTGCAACACAATCTGTACCTATTAAACATCAGCCTGCTGCTCCTGTATCTATTGCTGCACCTGGAACAGTGATTGGAGGATTATATAATAACCAGCCTCGCAGACCTCCAAGGCCACTATTGCCAGAGCCTCCAGTCTGTTATATAGAGGAACCATGTTCTCAACAAACCCAAGATGGGGTTCAATTACCTTCTGTAGAGAACTCGTACAGAATGGAAGCAAATACAAACCAAACTATTTTAAGTAATGATAGGAATTATTTTAAGCAAAGACATGAACCAGCATCAGTAAGTCAGAAAGCAATTATAAATATAGGTAAAAATATAAGTATTGCATTGCCTAAAGATTTAGTTTGGCAGAAGAAACGATTAAAAGAAATTATAAATCAGGAATTGGTTAGAGCATTGTTGATGAATGATAGTCAGGGAGAAAGTGAAAACACAGAAAATCAACCCTCAACTAGTACAGGAAAAAAGAAAACAGTCTTTTTTCCTGGCAAAAATGGAGTAGTTTGCTATGAAGTGAAGGAAGATGTATATGGTGCTTCATCTAATGGCCTTCGAGGAGACGTTTCTGAAGAATGTATTGAAGAAAATCCTTTAAGGATAGATTCAGATTTAGATGATAGTGATAATACACATGGATTTGATGATGATCAGCAGTATGGAGAAAGTAAACAAGAAGTTGATCCCTTGGCAACGACCTTGGTTGTACCCATATCAAGCAGATGCAGAAACAGTTCAGAATTTAAAAATTCCTCCAGTATTCACATTGATCCAAATGTTCCTTCACCTGCTCATAATATAACAATTGAAAATGGGTTAGACAGTTTTGCTCGTCATGAAACATTAAGTCCATATTGCATACCGGTAAATGAACCAATTCAGGTTATTTTTGATGATAGGGGTCATAATGGCCATACATCAGGCTGTAGTGGCATTTCACATGGTCATACAACTGGCATAAATGTTCGTAGTGATAAGGCTTCGTACGAAAGGGATGGCCACAAGATTTCTTTTGAAGTATCCTCTAATTCTGCTGATAAAAATAACGAAACAAGATCAAAGCGAATTTCATCCAGAAAGGTTGAGGTTAGTGATTCTGGAATCAATGTTGCCATCTGTAATGCTTCAAGAATACCTGGCAATTTCACCTATGTTGAACAAACATCTGGCAGTGCAAGCCAAAATATTGAAACAAATAAAAGTGAGGAACAGAATGAAAGTGGGTTGTGCTGTGAAGATGAACCACCACTTAGTTTTTTAACATCTGACCGCACCCTTAATACTCTCTTAGATGATTCAACTTTACAGGAAATGGTATATGTTGAAGAACAAGTGCTTGGAGCTGTTGAAGAGGTCTTTGCTGGTGAAAATTCTTCAAACCTACCAAGTACAAGTTCATCGATTGTGAATGGAACCTCTAGTCAAAAAATGCCCCCAAGAAAAATGAACAAATCCTATGTGACTGGCTATGAGAAGCAGCATTGCATACCTTCTACGCTTGAAGAGAATGAGAGAGAGAAGAAACAGGATGTTAAATGCAAGATTGAACCCCTCTGTAGTTCACAGTCCAGTTCTTCCGCAAGTAGAACAGCATCTTATCAGTCAAATCAAACTTGTCAGAACCAACCAGTGCTGAGTTCTTCCACCAGCTTAGGGGAAAAAATTGAAACATCAACACAAGAACAGGAGGAAGAGTTAGTAGATGACCCAAGTTTAGTTGGGGATTTAGGAAATGAAAATATCTTTCAAGATGACCAGATGTTTGAACGGGAACTGAACAGTCAGCAAACAGAGGAAGTTATGTCCCTGAAAGCATCAGAAACCTTAGCTGACAGTGATAGTGAAAGAGCCACACCTCATGAAGAACTACAAGATGTAAGTTAAATTTTAGGTTCAGTGTGTAATTACATATTTGTGGTCGGAAGTTTTAACCTTGTGTGTTTGTATTTTTTTCTTTAACAAACTCCTTATTTGTTTGAATTTTTTTTTTTTTTTGGAGGCTGCTCTTATCTTGGGATATAATGCACTAGAAAAATTTTTTAATTAAACTTTTGGTACCAGCACTAAGTTACTCTTAAAACTTTATTTGTAGTTGCAGGAGTAGAAATGAGAAAACTAAAGTTTTCTAATTTTCTTTCTGCTTTCCAATACTTATGTGCTGCATAACATCTGCTACATTACAAATACACCCAGCAGCAGACTGCCATATACAGCTAGCCCTCCACTTTCGCGAGCTTCGAACATTGGCAAATGCCCAGCCAAATGCCTATGGAGGGAAAAAAGTACAGGAAAACACTTCCCGCTGCGTCCCAACTACCCTCTCTCTTGCCCCCTCAACCGGCAGCCATAAACCATAACGTGTATACAATATTTTATGATGTTTTTGTGTGTTTTATAATTGTTCATGGTTCAATAGGTTTAGGAAGCAGTATTGTTTGGCTAAGTAAATGCTATTATTATATTTCCCTACAATATATTTGCACATCAAAACATTCATGAATGCTACAGTACAGTATTATATTTCCCTGCATCATATTGGCGCACCAAACATTCGTGAATTTTCAAGATTCACGAGGTTCTTGATCCCCTATCCCTCGCGAATGTGGAGGGCCTCCAAGACTGCTACATGCATGTGCATGTGCACACGCTCACACTTTTACAGCACCTAGAATGGAACAAGCTTATAAACTATAACCAGGAAGGATTCAGGGAAGGAAAATCCTGTGTCACGAATCTACTGAAGTTTTATGACAAGGTAATGGAAGTAAGACATGAAAGAGAGGGGTGGGTAGACTGCATTTCTTGTACTGCAAGGTCTTTGACACAGTTCCTCACAAGGAATTGGTGCAAAAGCTTGAGGACCAGGCATGCATAACAGAAAGGGCACTGCAGTGGATCAGGGAATATCTGACAGGGAGGCAACAGCGAGTTATGGTACATGACGAGGTGTCAGTGGGCTCCTGTGATGAGTGGGGTTGCAATTATTTGCAACAAGACTAGTTCCAGAGCTAAGGGGAATGCCCTGCAAAGAAAGGTTAAGGGAAATTGGCCTGACAACACTGGAGGACAGGAGGGGTCAGGAGAGACATGATAACAACATACAAAATACTGCGAGGAATTGACAAGGTGGACAGAGACAGGATGTTCCAGAGATTGGACACAGAGGCAAGGGGTCATAATTGGAAGTTTAGAACTTAGATGAGTCAGAGATGTTAGGAAGTATTTCTTTAGTCATAGAGTTGTCAGGAAGTGGAATAGTCTGGCAAGTGGCATAGTGGAGGCAGGAGCCATACATAGGTTTAAGATGAGGTATGATAAAGCTCATGGAGCAGGGAGAAAGAGGACTCAGTAGCAATCAGTGAAGAGGTGGGGCCAGGAGCTATGACTCGACTCCTGCAACCACAAATGGGTGAGTACTGTAATTGATTACTGTTGGTTTTTTTTTTTTTTTTTTTTTAAGCAATTAACTTGAAGTAACCCCTAGTTTAATTTGCATAAAGTATCAACACCTAAATATGTACACTGTTATGCCAAGCCACTGCAAGAAAAAATGCATAATGCTTTAGGTTCAAACCTGTGAACCGTGACAAAGAAGATATGTGCATGCACTCCCAGGTAACACTTAGCACTTCACCATATATTAATAAACTATATTTTAAAAAATATGCAAGCATGGACTTGTACTCTTGACTTTTTAACAGAAACTAACCTCATATTGCCAGCTATGACATTTATTGTACATCCTCACTAACCCTTGACTCCAGTCATCCCTACTCTTGCATTTTAACCCTTTGAGGGTTTTGGACGTACTAGTACAGCTTATGACCCAGGGTTTTTGACGTACTAGTACGCCTAAATTCTAGTGCCCTCAAATCTAGTGGGAGAAAGCTGGTAGGCCTACATATGAAAGAATGGATCTATGTGGTCAATGTGCACAGTATAAAAAAAATCCTGCAGCACACAGTGCATAATGAAAGAAAAAAAACTTTGACCGTTTTTTTTTTTTGAATAAAACAGCGACTTTGCACTGTATTTTCGTATGGTATTTATTGTTGTATTCTAATTTTCTTGGTCTCATTTTATAGAATGGAAGACATATTACAGAAATTGAGATGATTTTGACTGGTTTTACAATGAAAAGTACCTTGAAATTGAGCTCAAAGTAGCAGAAATGTTCGACTTTTACCAAAGTTCAAAAGTAAACAAATCATGCCAAGCGTCTAATACACGTCAACTGGTGAGTCTAATATTCTTTTGCAAGTGCGCCAATATTATTTATACCATTTTTTACACTAATGCAGTAGTCTGCATAACAGTAAATCTTGAATTTTTTTGTGAGAATAAAAATTCAAAGTGGAAAGCAAAAGAATGTAAGAGGGGCCTTGAGACGTGACTAATGAATAAAGGAAATGTCATTTTAGTGCCAGGAATGTCTTTCTTGTTTATTCTGGACCCTATTCAGAAATTGGCATCTTTTGAAATTTGTGTGAAATTGGCAAAATTGCTAAATTCTGACCACTGTACTGGATAGTTGAAATTGGTAAATGGGTGGTTTCTTGCACTCATTCGATAGAAAAAATGGAGTTCTAGCGAAATATTCATGTTTTTTGTCGACTAGTGCAGTGGAATTGGCCGAAAATGGGCCTCAGTGGGCAAAATCACCGATGCGTAAACATCGCCGAGACCGCTAACTTCGCGAGAGCATAATTCCGTAAGTTTTCCAGCAAATTTCATAATTTTGGTGTCATTATGATCGGGAAAAGATTCTCTATCTTTTCATAAGATTTTTTTTTTTTTTTTTTTTTTTTTTTTAATTTGGCCGACCCTGAGAACGAGTCTCGGAGAGGGCCTGTCGACCCTCAAAGGGTTAATCCACTGTTGTGCTGTATAACCCATAAAAGTTTAGCACTTATTCTAAAATGTGTGCAAATGTACAATTATTGCTGTTTTTAAGTTGGTTATATAGTGGTTCCTGCTTAAATATGGAGAATAGCATTTTTAATGTAATGAATATAAAATGGCTTTTAAATCATAAGAGTATACAGTATTTAATTAATGGTTTTCTTCATAGCTTATGTTCTATGATCGAAGCTGCATGTTTGCTGGTGAGCCAGGGCCAGCGAACCTTTCTCCAAGAACATATCCTTCAATAGACTCCTCAGCCTTCCATGCTTTGACACCTGCACTTATTACACCTCTTGAACATACAGTGCAGGTAAGTAAATTTTTTTTTTTTTAACACTAGCTGTCTCCTACTGAAACAGGGTGACGTGAAGAAAATATGCTTTCATAAATTTTTCCTCTTTCAACATTTAGCAGTTTAATAAGCAGGAAAAAGGTTACTAGGCCTTTACTTCCAGCGTTTTAGTAACCTATTATGACATGCATGGAATTCAGAGGAGGTATTATTCTCCACTTCCCCATGGAGATATAAATGTACATCTTTCTTTCAACACACCGGCCGTATCCCCCCCGAGGTGGGGTGGCCTAAAAGGAAAAACGAAAGTTTCTCCATTTACATTTAGTAATATATACAGGAGAAGGGGTTACTAGCCCCTTGCTCCTGGCATTTTAGTCTCCTCTTAGAACACACATGGCTTATGGAGGAAGAATTCTAATCCACTTTCCCATGGAGATAACAGGAAATGAACAAGAACTAGTAAGAAAATAGAAGAAAACCCAGAGGGGTGTGTGTGTGTATATATATATATATATATATATATATATATATATATATATATATATATATATATATGCTTGTACATATATGTGTAGTGTGACCTAAGTGTAAGAAGTACAGTGGACCCCCGCGTAACGATCACCTCCCAATGCAACCAATTATGTAAGTGTATTTATGTAAGTGTGTTTGTACGTGTATGTTTGGGGGTCTGAAATGGACTAATCTACTTCACAATATTCCTTATGGGAACAAATTCGGTCAGTACTGGCACCTGAACATACTTCTGGAATGAAAAAATATTGTTAAACGGGGGTCCACTGTAGTAGCAAGACGTACCTGAAATCTTGCATGTTTATGAGACAGAAAAAAGACACCAGCAATCCTACCATCATGTAAAACAATTACAGTGGACCCCCGCATACCGTTGGCCTTACATAACGTTAAATCCGCATACCGCTACATTTTATCGCCAATATTTTGCCTCGCATACCGCTAAAAAACCCGCTCAGTGCTGTTCGTCTGAGACGCGTCTATGTGCGGCCTGAGCCACACTCACATGTTCCGCCGGTGGCATTGTTTACCAGCCAGCCTCCGCGGTAACATCCAAGCATACAATCGGAACATTTCGTATTATTACAGTGTTTTTGGTGATTTTATCTGCAAAATAAGTGACCATGGGCCCCAAGAAAGCTTCTAGTGCCAACCCTACAGCAATAAGGGTGAGAATTACTATAGAGATGAAGAAAAAGATCATTGATAAGTATGAAAGTGGAGTGCGTGTCTCCGAGCTGGCCAGGTTGTATAATAAACCCCAATCAACCATCGCTACTATTGGTGGTACAGCTGCTGCTGTACCTACAGCTGCTGCTGTACCGTCAGCTGCTGCTGCACCGTCAGCTGCTGCTGCACTGTCAGCTGCTGCTGCTGCTGTAGCACCGTCAGCTGCTGCTGCTGCTGTACCACCGTCAGCTGCTGCTGTACCACCGTCAGCTGCTGCTGTAGTACCGTCTGCTGCTGCTGTAGCATCGTCTGCTGCTGCTGTAGCATCGTCTGCTGCTGCTGTAGCACTGTCAGCTGCTGCTGCTGCTGTTGTACCACCGTTAGCTGCTGCTGCTGCTGTAGTACCGTCTGCTGCTGCTGTAGCACCGTCTGCTGCTGCTGTAGCATCGTCTGCTGCTGCTGTAGCATCGTCTGCTGCTGCTGTAGCACTGTCAGCTGCTGCTGTTGTTGTACCACCGTCAGCTGCTGCTGCTGCTGCTGTAGTACTGTCTGCTGCTGCTGTAGTACCGTCTGCTGCTGCTGTAGCATCGTCTGCTGCTGCTGTAGCATCGTCTGCTGCTGCTGTAGCACTGTCAGCTGCTGCTGCTGCTGTAGCACTGTCAGCTGCTGCTGCTGTTGTACCACCATCAGCTGCTGTTGCTGCTGCTGCTGTAGTACCGTCTGCTGCTGCTGTAGTACCGTCTGCTGCTGCTGTAGCACTGTCAGCTGCTGCTGCTGCTGCTGCTGTAGCACTGTTGTTGGTGTGGCTTATTGAGAATACCAAGAAACAATTAACCCCAGATAACCCAAAAAAGTCAGTGTCATCAAAGACTGTCTAACTTATTTCCATTGGGGTCCTTAATCTTGTCTCCCAGGATGCAACCCACACCAGTCAGCTAACACCCAGGTGAACAGGGAAAAATGCTTGGAACTAGTGCTCATATTGGTGAATTTAAAGCCAGCAAAGGTTGGTTTGAGAGATTTAAGAATCGTAGTGGCATACACAGTGTGATAAGGCCTGTTCTGGAAGAAAATGCCAAACAGGACCTACAGTACTCAGGAGGAAAAGGCACTCCCAGGACACAGTGTCTCATCAGTCATTGCTGCATCTTCAATAAAGGTAAGTGTCATTTATTCTTCATTTAGTAGAGTAGTACATGCACAATATATATTGTGCATGTACTACTCTACTATTATGCATGTATCCTTCTCTTTGTGTGTAGGAAAATGTATATTTCATGTGGTAAAAAATTTTTTTCATACTTTTGGGTATCTTGCACGGATTATTTTGATTTCCATTATTTCTTATGGGGAAAATTCATTCGCATAACGATAATTTCGCATAACAATGAGCTCTCTTGCACGGATTAATATCGCTATGCGGGGGTCCACTGTACAGGTTTCCGTTTTACACTCACTTGGCAGGACGGTAGTACCTCCCTAGGCGGTTGCTGTCTACCAACCTACTACCTAGAATAAATGTACATGTTTTCAGTAAATTTTCCAGTATATTTTATAGAAATGTGTACTAACAGTTACCAGTATACCGTATTATTTAAATAGCATCACACATTTTCTGTTTCATGGAAATTTGCAGAAGAATATCAGATAAAATTAAAGAATGTTGCTCTGAAAGGAAGAAAATCCTCAGCATATTCATTATATGATTGCCAGATAAACAGTAAATTGTATGCACAGTAGGATCCCCACGTAGGATGCTAATCTGTTCCTGAAAATTGTACACAAACCAATGGTTCGGAATTTGGAACCCATTTTCTCAGACACCCATGTTATAATCAGAAACATAGAGCTTGCAACAGCTATCACAGCCCAGCAGAACAACAGAATTATTTAACTACCATTTTCACCCAATCTTGACTAAAGGAAATCATAACTTTCCACCCATGCACTAAATGCCAATGCATTTGGCAAAAAAGTAAAATAAAATAAATTTATTGTTAAGAGAAGGTAATTAAATTTATAATTCTTGACCAGTCTCTGCCAAGCGATTGTGAGTTCTCATAAATACATAAAATGAACATACAAAATGTAGTATTTAGTAAAAATCTAATTGAGAATGAAAATAAGTTCTGCATTAAGCCTCCCACTGAGGTAGAGTGAACTGCAAAAGAAGAAATGAAAATTTTTCTTTTTATGTTTAGTAATTGATTAGTAGTAGGTTGGTAGACAGCAACCACCCAGGGAAGTACTACCGTCCTGCCAGATGACTGTGAAACAGAAACCTGTAACGGTTTTACATGATGGTAGGATTGCTGGTTTTCTTTTTCTGTCTCATAAACATGCTAAGATAACAGGGATATCTTGCTACTCCTACTTACACTTTGGTCACACTTCACAGACACGCACATGCATATATATATATACATACATCTAGGTTTTTCTCCTTTTTCTAAATAGCTCTTGTTCTTTTTTATTTCTTCTATTGTCCATGGGGAAGTGGAAAAGAATCTTTCCTCCGTAAGCCATGCGTGTCGTATGAGGCGACTATAATGCCGGGAGCAATGGGCTAGTAACCCCTTCTCCTGTATACATTTACTAAAAAAGAGAAGAAGAAAAACTTTATAAAACTGGGTTGCTTAAATGTGCGTGGATGTAGTGCGGATGACAAGAAACAGATGATTGCTGATGTTATAAATGAAAAGAAGTTGGATGTCCGGGCCCCTAACAAACAAAGCTAAAGGGGGGGTAGGAGAGTTTCAGTGGGGGGAAATAAATGGGATTAAATCTGGAGTATCTGAGAGAGTTAGAGCAAAGGAAGGGGTAGCAGTAATGTTAAATGATCAGTTATGGAAGGAGAAAAGAGAATATGAATGTGTAAATTCAAGAATTATGTGGATTAAAGTAAAGGTTGGATGCGAGAAGTGGGTCATAATAAGCGTGTATGCACCTGGAGAAGAGAGAAATGCAGAGGAGAGAGAGAGATTTTGGGAGATGTTAAGTGAATGTATAGGAGCCTTTGAACCAAATGAGAGAGTAATTGTGGTAGGGGACCTGAATGCTAAAGTAGGAGAAACCTTTAGAGAGGGTGTGGTAGGTAAGTTTGGGGTGCCAGGTGTAAATGATAATGGGAGCCCTTTGATTGAACTTTGTATAGAAAGGGGTTTAGTTATAGGTAATACATATTTTAAGAAAAAGAGGATAAATAAGTATACACGATATGATGTAGGGCGAAATGACAGTAGTTTGTTGGATTATGTATTGGTAGATAAAAGACTGTTGAGTAGACTTCAGGATGTACATGTTTATAGAGGGGCCACAGATATATCAGATCACTTTCTAGTTGTAGCTACACTGAGAGTAAAAGGTAGATGGGATACAAGGAGAATAGAAGCATCAGGGAAGAGAGAGGTGAAGGTTTATAAACTAAAAGAGGAGGCAGTTAGGGTAAGATATAAACAGCTATTGGAGGATAGATGGGCTAATGAGAGCATAGGCAATGGGGTCGAAGAGGTATGGGCTAGGTTTAAAAATGTAGTGTTAGAGTGTTCAGCAGAAGTTTGTGGTTACAGGAAAGTGGGTGCAGGAGGGAAGAGGAGCGATTGGTGGAATGATGATGTAAAGAGAGTAGTAAGGGAGAAAAAGTTAGCATATGAGAAGTTTTTACAAAGTAGAAGTGATGCAAGAGGGAAGAGTATATGGAGAAAAAGAGAGAAGTTAAGAGAGTGGTGAAGCAATGTAAAAAGAGAGCAAATGAGAGAGTGGGTGAGATGTTATCAACAAATTTTGTTGAAAATAAGAAAAAGTTTTGGAGTGAGATTAACAAGTTAAGAAAGCCTAGAGAACAAATGGATTTGTCAGTTAAAAATAGGAGAGGAGAGTTATTAAATGGAGAGTTAGAGGTATTGGGAAGATGGAGGGAATATTTTGAGGAATTGTTAAATGTTGATGAAGATAGGGAAGCTGTGATTTCGTGTATAGGGCAAGGAGGAATAACATCTTGTAGGAGTGAGGAAGAGCCAGTTGTGAGTGTGGGGGAAGTTCGTGAGGCAGTAGGTAAAATGAAAGGGGGTAAGGCAGCCGGGATTGATGGGATAAAGATAGAAATGTTAAAAGCAGGTGGGGATATAGTTTTGGAGTGGTTGGTGCAATTATTTAATAAATGTATGGAAGAGGGTAAGGTACCTAGGGATTGGCAGAGAGCATGCATAGTTCCTTTGTATAAAGGCAAAGGGGATAAAAGAGAGTGCAAAAATTATAGGGGGATAAGTCTGTTGAGTGTACCTGGTAAGGTGTATGGTAGAGTTATAATTGAAAGAATTAAGAGTAAGACGGAGAATAGGATAGCAGATGAACAAGGAGGCTTTAGGAAAGGTAGGGGTGTGTGGACCAGGTGTTTACAGTGAAACATATAAGTGAACAGTATTTAGATAAGGCTAAAGAGGTCTTTGTGGCATTTATGGATTTGGAAAAGGCGTATGACAGGGTGGATAGGGGGGCAATGTGGCAGATGTTGCAAGTGTATGGTGTAGGAGGTAGGTTACTGAAAGCAGTGAAGAGTTTTTACGAGGATAGTGAGGCTCAAGTTAGAGTATGTAGGAAAGAGGGAAATTTTTTCCCAGTAAAGGTAGGCCTTAGACAAGGATGTGTGATGTCACCGTGGTTGTTTAATATATTTATAGATGGGGTTGTAAGAGAAGTAAATGCGAGGGTCTTGGCAAGAGGCGTGGAGTTAAAAGATAAAGAATCACACACAAAATGGGAGTTGTCACAGCTGCTCTTTGCTGATGACACTGTGCTCTTGGGAGATTCTGAAGAGAAGTTGCAGAGATTGGTGGATGAATTTGGTAGGGTGTGCAAAAGAAGAAAATTAAAGGTGAATACAGGAAAGAGTAAGGTTATGAGGATAACAAAAAGATTAGGTGATGAAAGATTGAATATCAGATTGGAGGGAGAGAGTATGGAGGAGGTGAAGTATTCAGATATTTGGGAGTGGACGTGTCAGCGGATGGGTCTATGAAAGATGAGGTGAATCATAGAATTGATGAGGGAAAAAGAGTGAGTGGTGCACTTAGGAGTCTGTGGAGACAAAGAACTTTGTCCTTGGAGGCAAAGAGGGGAATGTATGAGAGTATAGTTTTACCAACGCTCTTATATGGGTGTGAAGCGTGGTGATGAATGTTGCAGCGAGGAGAAGGCTGGAGGCAGTGGAGATGTCATGTCTGAGGGCAATGTGTGGTGTGAATATAATGCAGAGAATTCGTAGTTTGGAAGTTAGGAGGAGGTGCGGGATTACCAAAACTGTTGTCCAGAGGGCTGAGGAAGGGTTGTTGAGGTGGTTCGGACATGTAGAGAGAATGGAGCGAAACAGAATGACTTCAAGAGTGTATCAGTCTGTAGTGGAAGGAAGGCGGGGTAGGGGTCGGCCTAGGAAGGGTTGGAGGAGGGGGTAAAGGAGGTTTTGTGTGCGAGGGGCTTGGACTTCCAGCAGGCATGCGTGAGCGTGTTTGATAGGAGTGAATGGAGACAAATGGTTTTTAATACTTGACGTGCTGTTGGAGTGTGAGCAAAGTAACATTTATGAAGAGATTCAGGGAAACCGGCAGGCCGGACTTGAGTCCTGGAGATGGGAAGTACAGTGCCTGCACTCTGAAGGAGGGGTGTTAATGTTGCAGTTTAAAAACTGTAGTGTAAAGCACCCTTCTGGCAAGACAGTGATGGAGTGAATGATGGTGAAAGTTTTTCTTTTTCGGGCCACCCTGCCTTGGTGGGAATCGGCCAGTGTGATAATAAAAAAAAAAAATAATTGATACCAGAGAAGGGGTTACTAGCCCTTTGCTCATGGCATTTTAGTGGCCTCTTATGATATGCATGGCTTACAGAGGAAGGGTTCTTTTCCACTTCCTCATAGAGATTAAGAAAGATATCAAAATTAAATCTATATTTCTTGCTCAAACTCTACCAAATTTGAACATTGTGTATAAAATGAGCATGCACAAAGTATGAGAGTATTTGGTAAAAACAGCAGAAATATTTTAAATTCTGTAATCTGTTTGAATATTTGCAATGATTTTAATTGTAGATCATCATTCATAGATAATTAATTGATTGGTTTCACAGTGCCATTTTCAAAAGTATGAAACATCATAAGTTGGGAATATACTGTAACTAAAATATACATAATCTCATCAGATTGAATCAGGGCAGAATGGATCTATATCAAGCCTTGTTGGAGGACATACAGAGGATGGTGTAGTAGAAATGCCCCCTGCAGAAACAACAATGCATCTTGCTGCTGATGAATGCTGTACTGTTTTACCACCTATGGGTCTTAATATTACTCAGTTGTTCCCCACATCCCATCAAGAAACTGCAACTTCTACTTCCTCATCGCATTTTTATAATGGGATTGTCTCACTGACACCATCACAAGTTACTTTTGCTGACTTGATGGAAGATTCAAAACTCGGCTCTAAGGTAAGCATTTAACTTAATGTTCTGAGATTGTGAATATGAATTAAATGAATATTGCTGAATTCAGAAATTAGCATAGTTATTGGTGAAAGCTCTAAATCAGAATATTTAGAAAAATATGCATTACAGTTGTGTCCATAGAATTACATTACGTATCTATATAAAGGATAGAAAACTCCCAGTCATACATTTGTTTAGGCGGGTAAATGCTGTTTGCTGTCAGTGTAACATGTTTCTTTTTTGTGACTACACAGTCTGTTTTCTTAAAGTAACTGTCAGTTGTGCAAGAAAGGTATAAAATACCGACAATATGAAAGTTAAGACACGTGCAACATCTGGATATCTTCATTGTAGGTGATTTGCCATCTAGAATCTGTATTGATAAAACCACTGGATGGCGAAACGTCTACAATAAAGATATCCAGATGTTGCACATGTGTCTTAACTTTCATAGCTGTCAGTTGTCTCCTACCGAAGCAGGGTGACCCAAAAAAGAAAACTTTCACCATCATTCACACATAATCACTGTCTTTGCAGAGGTGCTCAGATATGACAGTTTAGATGTCACTCCAAACAGCTAGTGGCATTGTACTTCCCACTCCTGGTTTCCCTGAATCCCTTCACAAAATATTACCCTGCTTACACTCCAACAGCTCGTCAGGTCCCAAAAAACCATTCGTCTCCATTCATTTCTGTCTGACATGCTCACACATGCCTGCTGTATGTCCAATCCCCTTGCACACACAACCTCTTTTATCCCCTCCCTCCATCCTTTCCTAAGATGACCCCTACCCCTCCTCCCCTCCACTACAGATTTATACATCTTCCAAGTCATTCTATTTTGCTCCATCCTTTATAAATGGCCAAACCACCTCAATAACATGTCTTCATCCCTCCGAATAATATTTTTTTTGCAACTCCACACCTAATTTCCACACCACAAATTCTCTGCATAATATCTACACCACACATTGCTGTTAGACACAACATCTCCACTACCTTCAACCTCCTCCTCGCTGCAGCATTCACAACCCATGCTTCACATCCATATAAGAGTGTTGGAGCCTCTATACTCTCATACATTCCCTTCTTTGCCTCTTTGGATAACGTTATTCGTCTCCACAGACACCTCAAAGCACCACTCACCTTTTTTCCTTCGTTTCTATGGTTAACCTCATCCTTCATTAACCTATCTGCTGACAGATCTACTCCCAAATATCTGAGCATTTACTTCTTCCATATGCCCTCCCTCCAATGTGATATCCAATTTTTCCTTGCCTAGCTCATTTAATACCTTCATCACCTTACTCTTATCTGTTTCCTTTCAATTTTCTTTACACACCCTCTCAAACTCATCCAGTAACCTTTGCACCTTCTCTTTAGAATCTCCCAAAAGCACAGTATCATCAGCAAAAAGTATCTGTGACAACTCCCATTTTGTATTTGATTCTCCATAATTTAATCCCACCCCTCTCTCAAACACCCTAGAATTTACTTCTTTAACAACTCCATCTATAAATATGTTAACCATGGTGACATAACACACCCCTGTCTAAGGCCTACTCTTACCGGAAAGTGATCTCCCTCTCTCCTACACACCCTAACCTGAGCCTCATTATCCTCATGAAAACTCTTTACAGCATTTAGTAACTTACTGCCTATCCCATACACTTGCAACATCTGCCACATTGCTTCCCTATCCACCTTATCATATGCCTTTTCTAAATCCATAAATGCAATGAAAACATCCCTACCTTTATCTAAATATTGTTCACTTGTATGCTTCAATGTAAATACTTGGGCTACACATCCCCTACCCAGTCTTAAGCCTCCTTTTTCATCTGCAATACTGCTCTGTCTTGCCTTCAATTCTTTTAATAATAACCCTACCATACACTTTACCTACTGTACTCGGTAGACTACTTTCTTACAATAAACCGGCTGTGTCTTGCCAAAGCAGGGTGGCTCAAAAAGAAAAAGTTTGTTTTTAACTTTAGTAATGTATACAGGAGAGGGGGTTACTAGCTCCTTGCTCCCGGCATGTTAGTCGCCTCCTATGACATGCATGGCTTACAGAGGAAGAATTGTTTAATTTCCCCATGGAGATGAAATAAACAAGAACAAGAACTAGTAAGAAAATAGAAGAAAACCCAGAGGGGTGTGTATACAGTAGACCCTAATATTACACAGATTTATTTGGCACATTTTGGTTATTACACTGAAAAATTGTGGCATAATTTTGTACAAAACTTCATAAAATCAACTTAACAGTTTGGTTTGCGGGAAGGAAAAAAAAGCTGGAGAGTCCCTTGCGGGATATCTCCCTAGCTCGGACTGCCGCCTGGCTGTGGGTGAAACCACTGTCTGTGGGGCTGCACCGGGCTTCAAGGCAGCAAAGGATCGCTTTTCCTTACTCCTTTGCGGTAATGCATCACGGGATTTCAAGTGTAAGCCCATGGTTATTTACTGCTCTAAGAATCCTCGTACTTTGAAAGGTGTAGATAAAAACGCCTTGCCAGTAATTTGGAGGTCAAACCAGTCAGCATGCATGCATGACAGAGGAAATATTTATTGACTTGTTTAAGCATCACCTTATTCCTGAAGTAAAGCTTTACCTGCACAGCAAGAATCTTGCATTCAAGGCTCTCTATATTCTTGATAATTCCCATACTCATCCAGAAGCTTTGCTGGATGTGACCCTGCATGTAAAAGTTTTATTTTTACACGTACCCAACCCTCAGTAGGGAGGGCAGGAGATAATGCTCTGGGAGGAGTCACCCTCTGTTGTTGCACATAAATTTGTAATGCATACAAAACATTTTATTTACAGTTTTTTATTACTTTTGATTATAAAAGCTGGACAGGTATATTGAATGTAACTCTGAGGAGTAAGGGATGCATTCAGGAGAAGGGCTGTGTATTGTTTTCAGTGGGAGTGTTTTGTTGGAGAAAACATACTGAATGACATGTTACTTCTAGCTGAACAAATTACAGTGGACCCCCGCATAACGATCACCTCCGAATGCGACCAATTATGTAAGTGTATTTATGTAAGTGCGTTTGTACGTGTATGTTTGGGGGTCTGAAATGGACCAATCTACTTCACAATATTCCTTATGGGAACAAATTCGGTCAGTACTGGCACCTAAACATACTTCTGGAGTGAAAAAATATCGTTAACCGGGGGTCCATTGTACCTGTATATTGAATGATAATAAAGTTGTACTTTTTGAGTGTGCACATTGACTCATTGGTCATAAATGGACAACAAAAATGAGTAGAATTAAAGTAAATGAATCACTAACAAGTTTTCAGCTTGCAAAGTTGTTGGGCAACATTGTACTTTACCCACAACATACAGGGTATAAGTTATAAGACAGGCCGCTGAATTTCTTTTATTCTTCTATACTGTTGTATCTGGGTGCCTCTGCAAAGACAGTGATTATGCACGAGTGAGGTGACAGTTTTGAATGGTGATGAAAGTATTTTCTTTTTGGGTCACCCTGCCTCAGTGGGAGACGGCCGACTTGTTGAAAAAAAAAATAGAGTATGTGAAAGAAGGAATGAGTTTTTTAATACAATGTTGGCACTATTAATTTATCAGTTTGAAAGTGTTATAAACTAGGTATTGCACCATGACCTATTATATAACAGATGATAATTGTATTATAATATGTTAACAGAATGTTCTTCCAAAACAGATGCTGTCACTTGAAAACACCTGCAATAATCTAAATCGCCAGCTGTCTCCAGTCCCATCAACTTCTGGTCTTCAAGTCTCTAACCTTCCAAAACCTACCAAAGAAGATGAGGACTATGAATTTGAGTACGAGTCTGATTGTTATGGTGACAGTGATTCAGAGTCAGGTGTTACCAATCGTGGTCCTCTCGACCTAGATCACTGGAAGTGTCTTGAGTGTAATAAAATGTTCAAGAGTCTTAAGGAAAAGTTACTCCATGCTGGTCAGCATTCACCTTGTGCAGAGGCTATGGAAAAATCGGGGGCAATTAGAAGTGCAGCACAAGTCAAATTAATTCAGTTAGGGATTAAAAAGGATGCTGAGGAAGATTCAGGCATATCACTATTGCACTGTAAAGAAGAAATGGGTGCAATGCAAGATGAAACACGCTCAATGCTAGAGTCATTTGCTTCAAATGGGGAATACAAATGCCCTGAATGTAGTTCAAGATTCCCATCAGCAGAGACACTCTTTGAACATCGAAAGATGGTTTTTAAATCTCGTGTCACTTGTCAGATATGCCATGTGGTATTCAAAAAAAGAATCTTAAAAATAAAACATATGAAAACACACACGATGGCAGACTTGAAGTGTCTCATTTGTAATCGTACGTATCCAAATCGGTATTCTTGGTCTCAGCATCAACTCTTCCATATGGGTTTGGTGCTCTTTGAATGTAAGGAATGTGGTAGGAGATTCCAGAGGAGATCAGAATTAGAGGTGCACTCACGGACTCACACTGGTGAACGACCATTTCATTGTGTATCATGTAGTAGCGCCTTTGCAACGCGGCAAGCTCTCAAGCGGCATTTGGTCACTCATATGGATGGCCAAGAGGTTGACTGTGATGTTTGTCAAAAAACCTATAAAAATATTGTATGCTTAAATAAGCACAAGCTTAAGGCACATTCAAAACACAAAGGTAAAACTAAGGTACGGAGGGACTTCATGTGTAATACGTGCAATGAAGTCTTTCCCTCTGAGAAAAAATTAGCATGGCATCGAGAAACTCACGAGAGATGGCCTAAGAAATGCCAGCAGTGTGGAGAGTGCTTCATTCACCAGTCCAGTCTGACCAAACATATCCGTCAGAAACATGATCCACACCACCAAACGTCAGATGGAAAATCCGAAAACAATTCAACTTGTCATGTATGCTGCAAAGTGTTTAAGAAATCTTCACTTGCCTTACATTTACGGACGCATACTGGAGTAAAGCCCTTTAAGTGCAATATATGTAACCGAAGTTTTGCAGTGAAATGTAATTTAGATGCTCATAAATGGGTTCATATGGGTGTGCGTGATAGGCCACATAAATGTAAGCTATGCGAGCGAAGTTTCCATCGTAAAAAGGATTTAGAAGCTCATATACGTAGTCATAAAAACATTCGTCCTTTCACATGCAATGAATGTGGAAAATCTTTTATTCATAAAAATAATTTGCAGCTGCATGTACGTGAGCATTCTGGTGAAAAACAGCACAAGTGTGCCTTTTGTGGTAAGGCTTTCTTTCGGAAATACAATCTTGACAATCATGTCAGGATTCACACGGGTGAAATGCCGTATGAATGTACCATTTGCCGCAAAGATTTTACTCAAAAAAGTAATTATAATGTACATATGAAGGCATTCCATGTTGAGAGACATGCTGTTCATGAAGAATTGTAAGGAAATTTTAACTGTAAAGAAACTTAGGTACAAATGTCTAGTTTCTGTTGGCAAAGTATTAATCAAATGCGAAGTTAGAGAATGTCATCATTCAGTGCCAGATACAGAAATAATATTTTTCTAAAAAGTATAGATAATGTAAAATAGAAACATGATATAAAGGCAGTCTTTTATTGTAGACAATGTTTTGCACAGAAGGAGCTTTATCAAGCCAATTGGAAAGAACACAGAAAATAAGAGCTTGTATATCCTAGTCGCAAAGAGGAAGGGGGAATGTGTTCATGGATTTGGATGGCTATTCATTAATTGGGCCTGGTTGTGTCATGTTAATTATTTTTGCTTCTGGTGATCACAGTGCTCAATTGCTTAACAAACCTTTTCCAGCAAATCGACTTCCTCTTGCTTTCTCTCTACTATTGCAGTGGAATACTGTATACATACTATGTGTATAAGCTCATCTTTTGCTGTGTCTTTCAGTTAGCATAAAGCTCAACCCAAGTGAAATATTACCTGTATTAAAGGCTTGTCTTTATGTTGTGTTGCTGTTAATGTCTTTGTTGGCTGTCCTTGCCAAACATCTATAAATAACATAATTGACTGTCCATACATTAAGTAAACAATGGTAGAAATAAAGTAGAACCCCGATAATCTGCTTCCATTGGTTCTCTTTGCCACCCAGTTTTATGTTGGCAATAAGTTCCAGCTCTTTTAGATGTGGCCAGCATTTTAAACAAGGCTAACCTCTCAATAATTTATTAGTTTTATTAATCTCTGTGATTGAATTATTTTAAAATTGTCTAATTTTTGCATGGTATAAAAAAAATTTAAAGTTAAACCTCTCAAGATTTCACTGTATTTTTCAACTGCAATTAATGCGTTTGTTTTTAATGTGTAAACTTTATACTCATTATTTTTTAATAATTTTCTTCTTATTTCAGTGTGCTTCTATTTTTCTTCTGTATATTTGATTAGGCAAAATTAATTTTGCACAATCAGTCCTGTTCATGAAGGTCACAATGCTATGGCTGGAGCAATTTACAACTAACTAAAAATTTGAAGATGAAATTTTGGACCACCTTTCTGTCCTGACATAATGTTTCAGGAAGGACCGAAACATTGTCTGAAGTTTCCCCTACAAATTGTAGGTACCTGTGAATTTTGTTGTGATTGCAAGTGCTAAATGGTACACTTGTATTTAGCCAAATTTGACCATGTGAAATTATTTACTAAATGTTTCAAGGTTCTGTAGTTGAAATGTCTCGATAGATTATAGGAGGTTATATCTTCAAGGAAGGGAACTTCCCATTGGAAATAGCTATCAGAATTTTTTTTATAAATAGGCAGTTTAAATGTATGAAATTTTAGTTTAAAATAAATTTACTAACTTTATTAAATTGTGTAGCTTCAGATATACAACATAATATTTTCTTAGATAATGTACAGTCGAACCCCGAAAAAACACTCATCAGGGTCAGGACATCTATGAAAAATATCTGTGCATCTAGGGGTGCATGAAGTCTAAGTTGCACGTACAGGGAGGGGAAAAATGAAAAATGTGTACTTACAACTCACTGTAGTAGTAGAAGTACTAATAGTAGTAGTTCTCTTTCTAATGTTAATCCCCCAGATTTGTGATGATTTGGTTCCTAAATGTCCTCATGATTTCAGAGTTTGCAAATACCACAGTATTGTTTGTTTTGGGCTGATTTTGCTTTTCAGAGGCCATATTTCTTTAAGTATTGTTCTAATCTGGTTAATATTAACATTAATAAAGTAAAACGAGAAAAGAGAAATTTGGGTGCGAGCAATCCAGCATGCATATTTTAAACAAAACCCATCTATTAGTTTTCAGTTTAGGGGTCATGCAAGTCAAATAAGGATAATGAGCACAAGAACTTGTAAAGACTGTAATTGAAGTTGTTCGTGAAATGGCCTTCAGTAAGTGTTGTGTAGTGAAAGTGAAATACTGTATTCCCACCTTCCATGCATACTTCAACTGATACTTGGCCTATCGCACCCATTATGACTTCCATTTCACACTTGTGCTAACGTTACCTCTACTATAACCCCCCCCCCCCCTTTATACACCCACTTTCAAATGCAATGCAGCATGACCCCTGCTAGTTTTGCGCTTGATTTAAATGCATCATAATAATAGGATTAATCGAAGCACATTAGTTATGAAGCTAATAAATTTAAGGGTTTGGCTATACTGTATTCATTTGCACTAAATACTCTGTGTTGCCACATTAAGCTGAAAATACAATCATTTTCATGCTCATGTTCATAATTTAGATATATGGCATAATATATTTGTTTTAAAATTTGCATGTTAAAGCCTGTAGTAATTATTTTTAATTCATGTGCATATGCTGTGGTATCAGTTTGCCTTTGATGTGGAGTATTGTATATAATGGTATTGGTGATTTGGCACTTTCTCGCTCTTTCTTAACAGTGTCCAGCACAGACCAGATGTAGATTTGTGATCCTGAGTAGAGATATATCAGTTATATCTTGGAACTTCATGGAAAAATTAAATATAATTTAAACAGCAAAATGCATTTTAAATATATTTATATAAAAACTCCACTAGAGGTTCATAACATCAAAAAATCCCGAGATTACAGAAAAACATTCTTGAGAGCTTGCGAGTATCCAAGAAAATTGCTAGTTTAGGGGGTTCGGCTAATTGTTTATAATCAGTATACAGTTTGTAAATTTTTTAAAATCAGCTTGTATCTATAATACAAATTTACAGACTAACGTGGTTCTACTTTATATGCAAAAATATAGCAAGAATTTTTTAATTTGAGATTCATTTGAAAGAACTTGATGGCATTTTTTTATAAATTGGTTCTTAAGTATTGTATATGAAGATTTTTATATTATATAGGAGTTTTATAACTTGAATACCAACAGATTTAGCAGATACAATTTTTATTTTAATTGTAACTTTTTAAAGTACCAAGTGACGAGTCATGCAATGTTACTGAGAAGTACAGTATTGTAATTTTGTGAAACTTATTGGTGCAATATGTATATTTAAATTTTTAGCTTATATGTGCATTGTGAAAGATCTGTAAGAAAACTGTATGGTGTTGAATAAAAGTGTTTCATATGATAACTGTTATGATATTATGGTTGTGTGAAATTTGTTATCAGCTCTGTAGGCTCAAGTTTAGCCTTTATTCTTATAGTAGTTCCTTAACAAAACTGCCACAGAATTAGTTACCTTAAATTTTAGATTACATGTTTCTTAGATTTTTGTGTATAATTGCCACCTTTTGACTTTCAACCGACTGAAGTGATTGAGCCGTCCTATTGTTTTTTGAACCCTCGTGTAGAGTCTAGTTCCACTATGTTTAGTCCATTCCATTTCTTTACTACTGAAATGTTTTCTGATATACCTGCAGCTTATTGGGGAGGCAGTTTCCAACTGTGCCCCAACATCTTTTGAAAAGCCTATCCTGTTTATTCTTCAAGAGTATTTTGTATGTTGTTCTATATTCCCTCTTGTTCTTCTGTCTAAATATGTAGATCATTTCCTTCAATTCATGCCCCAGTCAAGATGCACTCCTTTAATTGTTTTTTCTGTTTTCACTGTGTTACTAGATGAGGGTTCCATACTACTACATACTCAAGAATCATTTAAATAAATAAGGTCAAGTGTTATGAGTCTGTTCTTGAATGCCACTCTTATGTTTGCACACTGAGTTTGTGCTGCTGATCATTTTTTGTGTATGGGCCTCAGGAAACAGATTTGGGTTAGTGTACCATCTGGGAAGGAAGAAGAGTTTCATTGCTTTTTCCTTCCCAGATAGTACATTACTGTCTTCAGTCTCCTTTTTCTTTTTCCTTTTTCAGTAACTATTTAACATGTTTCTGCATTCTTCCAGGTCTTCCTGCATTTTTTCTTTCTTCCAATTATATTCTCATTATTTTAGCCTCTGCCAACAAGAATTTGTAAGAATTATTTTTATTGTGTGTGTGTTAAAAGACTAAACTTTTAAGGGTCATACAGTGCTTGGGGAATGGGAGGTAATCAGGTTTGATCTAAGGTAGGGAAGGGTAGCTCTGATTCTTTTGATCACAAACCTTACACCAGCATCAAGGCACCCACTTGAAGAGTATGTAGGAGTTAGTTCCTGTATTCAGATCATTAATACATAAGGAATATAGAATCCAATATTACTGCTTGTGGGGCTCCACTAGTTAAGCTTTCCCATCCTGTTACTCTATATTGCAAAGTGATTGTTTCCCATTGGTCAAGTATTCCCTTAACCATGCTGATGCAGTGGAACCTCGGTTTTCGTATTCCTTAGTTTATATGTAAAACTATAGTTCTTTTTCTTTCAACGCACCAGCCATATCCCACTGAGATGGGGTGGCCCAAAAGGAAAAACGAAAGTTTTGCCTTTTAAATTTAGTAATATATACAGGAGAAGGGGTTACTAGCCCCTTGCTTCCGGCATTTTAGTCGCCTCTTATGACACGCATGGCTTACAGAGGAAGAATTCTGTTCCACTTCCCCATGGGGAAAACTATAGTTATTCTCTATAAAATGTATTTTTGTTAATATTTTTGGGTGTCTGGAACGGATTAATTGGATTTACATTATGTATTTCTTTTGGGAAATATTGCTTCAGTTTTTGTATGATTCAGTTTATCATTACTTTTTCAAACAGATTATTCAAGAAAACTGAGTTTCCACTGTACCTTTTCTTTTACCCAAGGTTATTTCTCCAATTTATTAGGTGGCCTTAACATGGTACTGTACATACCAAAAGCTTTCCTTCAGTCTGTAAGCGTACAATCTTAACAGCCATCTCCCACTGAGGCAAGGTGACCCGAAAAAGGAGAAACTTAGTGGTGTTTTTTTTTTTTTTTTTTTTTTTTTTTTTTTTCCCCCAACAAGTCGGCCGTCTCCCACCGAGGCAGGGTGACCCAAAAAAGAAAGAAAATCCCCAAAAAGAAAATACTTTCATCATCATTCAACACTTTCACCACACTCGCACATTATCACTGTTTTTGCAGAGGTGCTCAGAATACAACAGTCTAGAAGCATACACATATAAAGATACACAACATATCCCTCCAAACTGCCAATATCCCAAACCCCTCCTTTAAAGTGCAGGCATTGTACTTCCCATTTCCAGGACTCAAGTCCGACTATATGAAAATAACCGGTTTCCCTGAATCCCTTCACTAAATATTACCCTGCTCACACTCCAACAGATCGTCAGGTCCCAAGTACCATTCGTCTCCATTCACTCCTATCTAACACGCTCACAGAAGGGGTTACTAGCCCCTTGCTCCCGGCATTTTAGTTGCCTCTTAGGACACTCGTGGCTTACCAAGGAAGGATTCTTCTCCACTTTCCCATGGAGAATTCAACATTTCTTCTTAGTAATATCTTCTAGCAGTGTGTACATTACATACATAGGGGTATTGACCTAGTTAAGAGGTTCCTGCCTCCCACCTTTCTAAATATTAGTTTCACATTGGCTCTTCCAGTCTTGAAATTTTCCTGTCAGTGATTTGTTAAGGATCTGTACGGATGGCTTGTATAGTATTTCAGAGCCTCAATATTTGTAATGTTCCATCTGGTTCTCATGCCTTCAATGTGTCCAGTTGCACCAAGCTGTCTTTGTTTAACTGTTCCATTTGGTTTCTCTTCCTGTCTCTGGTGCTTGTCCTACTCATTAATATTAATACCGACTGGAATTTTCTGCTAACCACATAACGTACTTTCTTGTAAATACCTGCAAGTGTTTCCCCTTTATTATTACTTTAGCTTTGTTAATTTACTATGAGCTGTGAAGCAGATTTGGTTCTTTTCCTGCCTTGTATAGTTAAAACACTAGGTTTTCTCTTCACCCAAGCTTCTCTTTTCTGGCACTTGGTTCACTATACTTTGTGTGTGTTCTTGCATTCTGGTATTTTGCTTTCTTACATTGATAAGTGAACCATATATTTTTCCAGTATCTCTTGCCCATTTCCTTGTTGGTTGATACAAACTTGCATGTTGCTGCTGTCCACATCTGACTATAGTTTACTGTAATTTCTTGGGTTATTTATCCCATGAATTCATCACTCCACTCTACTTGTGTCAAAAAATGCCTCTTCTCTGTAGTCACTTGTTAATATACATAAATCTCTGAATCTCCTGTTTCTTAAGTGTGATCTTCATTATGTAGCATGCAACCCCTCGAGGGAGGCACCTTGATGCCAGTGAGGAGGCTTGATCCAGGGAATTGGACCTGTCTTTCTATTCCTTGGATCAGACCTGATTACCTTGCATTCCCCAGGCACTGTATGATCCCTCTGGGTTTAATGCTTCCCAATGGTTGTAGTATTAATCCCTTTGTTTGTGTGTTGTGTGGTTTGATAATAAGATGAACTCAGTAAGCCTTGTAATGGCTATGGTTGCTAATCTTGTTGAACTCCAGTATCTCTCACAGACTCCTCTCAGAAGTTGCCTCATGAATATAACATAACATTGAATACCTTTGACAAAATGAGTGGTGGATTTTATTAAATTGTTCCAAACATACTAGAAATGTTGTAAACATGCAACTATTTGCACACCATGAAGAATGTATTATTTTTTAAATATATCTTAACACTTGTAGAAAATTTTATCTATTATAAGGTTATGCCATGGTGTGTTCAGATTAATCAAATTGTTCATGCATAAAATTGTATATGGTAGTATGTTTATTGGAATGGCATTCAGCATTTCATTTGAAATAGGCAAATCCAGAGCTATATTTGGGTAGTTATAATGTGTAGGTACTTTAATAATACATTATGAATGATTTGCAGCATTTTTAAATATGTAACCAAAAATGACAAAAGTCTTAGTGAATATAAAATCATCAGGAATATGTAGCTATAATAAATTATTAGTCTGTATAACTTTACAGGTTTAGTGCTTCCTTGTCATTATACTGTAATAATATAATTGTCATTATCATCACCATGTAGTATATCTTTTTCTCTTATTTTTGTTCTTTTCCTTCTCAGTCCTCCTTTATTCTTAGTTACTGAACTGAGTGTATTTGTTATATGTCCATACATAGTACTGCTCAGATATTTAATGCGTGTTTTAATATTTTTCTTTCAAGTACATGTCTATGCTTACCAAAAGTCATGTTCTTTACAAATACTGTACTGTATACGTGTATTCTGTTAAATAATTTTTTGTTCCTATGCATACAGGTATTTTACAATACTTTATGTACATCATTGGTGTAACCAATATATCTTTCAAAGATTTACTATTGTATGGTAATACTGATAACTACAGTAGTACTGAGAAGTATACCGGGAGTTTGGAGTTCGTTTCTTCTCATTCACAGCAGCTGTTTAAAAGGTATAAGGCAATCAGTGAGTCATCGGTGAAAGTTTTGTTTTATTCTATGTTGTTATTCCTTTAAGGAAAGTATATGAATGAGTAGAACTACATCTGGCCATTAAATGCTGTCTCTGTCACGTGTCTGCTGTATGAAGTGTTATTTGTTACCTTATATTCTGGAAGCTATTTAGAGCCTCTGTTATTTATTTAATTGAACCTGAATTTTTTTATTTATTTAAGTTACCTTTTATTCATATATCAAAATGTGTGAATGATCTGCTGTAACATTGCCCAACCTAGTATATGTTGTTATATATGTAAGATGTATGTTACCAGTTTAGAGCTACTTAACATGTGTAGCTTTATTTATAACTTTAAGCTTTAAATTTAATGTGTGCTTGTCAGGTATAGTGTGAAAGTTTTACGTAACCCAATAGCAATGTAGAAGGCAAAAAATACACAATAAAAAATTGGTGTCCATTGTTTTTCTAATACCAGCTGCCAAAATATTTTATTTGTGTTAATGTTTGTGTTAGTGTACAATTAAATTTAGTTGATAGTATTGAAATTAACAACTATTTTGTTATTAAGTTTATTATTTTGTTCTAAAATTTTATAGAATAGTATTTTTTTTAAATAATAAAATGTTGAAAGATAACTAAAATCGTCAAATTGTTGTGTATTCTTCCCCCCCCCCCCCTTAAGGGAGGTTCCTTGATGCTGTTGAGGGATTGAACCTGATTGCCTCCAATATTCCCACATGCTGATGATCCCTGTGGATTTAGCATTTTCCTTTCCCTTGTGAATTTTTTTTTTAACAAGTCGGCCGTCTCCCACCGAGGCAGGGTGACCCAAAAAGAAAGAGAATCCCCAAAAAGAAAATACTTTCATCATCATTCAACGCTTTCGCCTCACTCGCACATAATCACTGTTTTTGCAGAGGTGCTCAGAACAACAGTTTAGAAGCATATACATATAAAGAGAGACAACATATCCCTCCAAACTGCTAATATCCAAAACCCCCTCCTTTAGAGTGCAGGCATTGTACTTCCCATTTCCAGGACTCAAGTCTGGCTATATAAAAATAACCGGTTTCCCTGAATCCCTTCACTAAATATTACCCTGCTCACATTCCTTGTGAATATAATTATATAAATCTGTATCCCTTAAAATATATTCTACCCTAGTAATAGCAGAATTTTGGAGAACTGTATATGAGGTTTTGGGGATCAAGAATTTTTTTTCCTGGATCTTTTTCTAAAGTGATTGGATAATCTAGGATGAACTTAAATATTGTGTAAGTGTGCATATCTAGATTGGACCAAGGAAAATATTTCAAGTCCTTACACAAAAATACTTAGTGAACCAGTTTTGGTAAGTTAAAATATTTACAGTAATTTTATTCAAATATTATTGTGTAGTGAAAATGGTTTATTTTAATACATTTTTTGATAATTTCTAGGTACAGTAGAATAAAAATAGAAATGTGCAATCAGATGATTTGCTGAAACATAAACATGAATATTTATGTATAAAAGTTTTATAACTTTTATACATGACCCTTGTTGGTTTAGCACTTCTTTTGATTATAATATATATTTACAAATAACCTCATATTTAAATAAATATATGATTGAATTTTGATAATCCAATCTAGGAAAATAAAATACTGCCTGGATAGCAATATTTGGATTTACCGCTAAATAACAATTGTTTATTTTCTTGTACTGTATTCATAATTTTGCTCAACGCTGTACTTCCAACATCATCATAGCTCTTACCTTACCTTCCCTCCTTGTTAACAGACATATGTCTGGCGTTTGTGATCATTTCAGATTCCCTCAGTGATTTACAAGCCATTAAACAATTTAATTCCCCTCATCCACTGGTTCTTCGTATTCAACTTTGGTTGCTCCGAGTAGCTAGCAAAAACAAAGATGTTTTCTGTTGGCTCCCTGGATGCTGCAGGGCAATGAACAGGCGGATGCTGCTGCACAGTCAGTGGTACATGATCTTCTGGTTTCCTATAGAGGTATTTCGTTCAGGACCTATATTAGTCTTTAATTCTGTTGGCGGCAACAATGGTGGTCGAACATTCACCATAACAAATTGCACTGTTAAACCGTCTTTAGGTTTGTGGCCATCTTACCATCGTTGTCGTACTCACTGTACCCATGGGTATCTCATGGAACAACGCCCTATTCCTCTGTGAAGTCATGGAACAACGCCCTATTCCTCTGTGAAGTTTGTCATGTCCCTGTTTCAGTTCTTCACTTTCTTGTGGACTGTCCAGTTTACCAGCAAGCTCACAGGATTTACCTCCACTGTGCTACCGCTCTTGCCTTCTCTTCCCTTCTTGCAGATGTCCCTGCCTTTGACTTACGATCACTTTTTGTCAGCAACTGCTTTACTAGACAAACTTTGACACATGACCCCTAGCGTCCCTTACAGCCCTTTCCTCCACTCGCCTCTGATCCTTTCTCCACCTACCTGTTTATAGCCCCGGCACTATTTTCTACCCCGCAGCGTTGCATGACCCTTGTTAGTTTAGCACTTTCTTTGATTAAAATAATCCTTGCTGACAGACCCACCTTTGACTCGGACCCCTCGCTGACTATTTGACAGCAACTGATTAACTAAAACTTTGACGATCGGACTTCTGCGCCAGCCTTCGTCGGGTGTGACGTCTCTCTCGCCTGAGTATCGGTGATAAATTTCCCCTGTTCTCTCTGGGACACTTGTCTTTGTCTATTTTGCCCGCCGGGCACTCTACAGGAGGGGCACCTGTTCATCGGCTTACTTTTAGCCAGCTCCATTTTTTCCACTCTGCGGAAAATTCTTTATCAGTCTTTGGTGGGAAGCCGGTTACTGTACTCAGGTGGGGGTGTGGGCATCCCCCTCTGCTGGGGCTTGGCAAGGGGGTCCACCGGATCTAATTGGAAACTTCAAGTTTCCATCTCTGTTTACAAAGGAACTTTTGTTGCTTTTCTCTCATCGCCCAACCTTGGGCAGCTAATCTTCCTCGTACCATCGGGAAACCTGGTTCGATACGGCTTATGCTGTCAGTGGCCCTGGTAAACCCAACAACAGCAATAACTTTGATGATCCTTCCTCTAGCACTCCTTGCAGCCCTTTCTAACTCTCCCTCTGTTGTCCACAACACCCTTGCTACTTTATAACCCTGCACTATCCCTTGCCCTGCTGCATTGTATAACCCTTGTAGGTTTAGCACTTTTATTATAATACTCAGTGCTGTATGACCCTGGTGTGTTTAGCGCCTAGTTTTCATTATAATAGTAATAATCATAAGTACTGCCCATCCAATGGGGTACCTTGGTGCTGGTAAAGATCTCGATGCAAGGAATTGACGCTACTGTCTTGAATCAAGCTTGATTACTTGCTGTTCCTTGTGTTGTGTGAGCCTTACTTCTCATAACAGAGTTTAGCGCTTCTTTTTTTATTATAATTATAATTCTCATAACAGATCCATCTTACCAGTGCAATTTATAAGCTATAATAATGCTTGGTTAACTAACACCTAATATGATACTAGGAAACCTGAAATTCTCCTCTCTTCAATTTGGATTTTGTAGGAATCCACTTGCTAAAAGTATATTATCGCAGCCTTTCAAGTTCAAGATTCTTGACACTACCCGACTTCATAACATCTTGACCCAAGCTCCTCGCTTCCTTCCCTGCCCTGCAGCGCTGTATAACCCTTGTGGTTTAGCGCTTCTTTTTTATTATAATAATTGACCAAAGCTCGTTCCATGGGCCTGCTGGGTAATCAGAACACTTTCTCTTCAACACTTATTAGAAAGGCACTTTCGTGGCCAGGTAAATAGCTTTTTTTTTCCTGACTGTTCAGGTTGAAGGCATTCCTTAAAGCTGTTCTTAGCACTACCTTCCTATTTGCCATTAATGATCTTCCCTCTTGTTTTTCCTTCCAATGTTTCATCATTATTTGTCTTCAATTTTGTTATATCTTGTGTAGGTGCTGATTGTAGCCCTGTGGTGACCCCTCTCCAGTATGCTATTAGTCACACTAACCAACTGGGCAGTCTCCCATAGGTTACGTTTCTGCTGCTAAAACCTACCAATTAACATTCACAAGATGCTCTATAATCCCTCATCCCCTCAAGGGAGGTTCTTTGACGTTGATGAGAGGCTCTTGATCTAGGGAATTGGACCTGTGCTCCGGGTCCCTGAATTGAGAATGAATACCTTCCATCCTCCCCACCATGCGCTGTATAATCCTACGGGTTTAGCGCTCCCCCATGATTATAATAACATAGGAAAGAAGGAACACTGCAACAGGTCTATTGGCCTATGAGAGGCAAGTCCAATTCTCCCACCGGCTTAAGCTCACTGACCGTCTGACCTCACTGATCCAGTGAGGTCAGACACGTCACTTAAGGGAGGAGTTTTGAGACTGATCGCGGGTTCTAATCCCACCCGTGGTATGTTTTTTTTTTTTTTTTTTTTTTAGGAGCACAGCATCCGACCTAATAGCACAAGCTATTTAGGTCCAACTCACCCACCCACACCCACTCATGTATTTATCCAACCTATTTTTAAAATTACACAACGTCTTAGCTTCTATGGCGGAACTCGGGAGTTTGTTCCACTCATCCACAGCTCTATTACCAAACTAGTGTTTTCCTATATCTTTCCTGAATCTGAATTTTTACAATTTAAAACCATTGCTACGAGTCCTGTTTATGTTAGATATTTTTAGCACGCTGTTTACCTCCCCTTTATTAATTCCTGGTTTCCATTTATACACCTCAATCATATTCCACCATTCTGATTTCTCCCCATTTATGCAAACTCTCTGTTGCCTATTTGTCGACCATGCCTCTATCCAGGAAAAAAATTCTCCTATTCCGTGTACCTTAAGTTTCCTCAATAGTCTCTGATGTGGAACTCTATCGAAAGCCTTACTGAAGTCCATATACACAATATCATATTCATTACCATGATCTACCTCCTCAAATACCCTAGTGAAGAAAGTTAGTAAATTCGTTAGACAGGAACGCCCCTTTGTAAAACCGTGCTGAGATTATTAATCAATTTATGCTTTTCGCGATGGCTACGAATTGCTTCGGCAATTATTGATTAAATAAATTTACCAACTATGGAAATAAGGCTTATTGGTCTATAGTTCGAAGCTAAGGACCTGTCACCTGCCTTATAAATAGGTATTACATTTGCCATTTTCCACTTGTCTGGCACTATGCCAGTTCTGCACCCTATATGGTTCCCATATCTCTAAACAATATCGGCTTAAATTTCTTGGTCTTTTGTCTGTCGAATGTGCTGCAAGCCTACGTAACCTTGTTAGTTTGTCCATCATTCATGGGGAAGAGGCGGTGTTGATAGACATATCCTTCTGCACCTTCATTCAGCCCTAATTTTATTTAAATTGTTCAAGTGACCAACTGTATTTGCTTTCCCCGTTACTTTCTAAAATT